GGCCCTATGGACCCCCTCCAGTATTTCTGATGCAAGTTCCAGGCCTTTGAATAATAATAAAAAAGTGTTTCCCCTTTTGGTTTTAATTTTTTACAGGACTCTTACTGGACGTGTGACATCAAATTATGGTTTTGTTTTCTCCATAGAACCTGTGTCCCATCTTGAAAATAAAAGCTGCCGCCTTCTTCTAATTGAAAGAGTCGGTCTTAATTAGCATTTCTGTGAAGTGGGGGGGAGGGGGGTCCCACAGGAAAAAATGGGAACAGTACAGCATTTTCTAAGACTTCTTCACAGCTGAAGAAAGCTCCTTTCTTACCTGGAGCAATATTTGAGTTTCAAGAAGAGGTCTAGTCTGGGGCTTTGCTTCTGAAAATCCATATTTTATTTTCAAAGTCATCCTCTTCTTCTGGGGAAGGAAACATGGATGCTTTTTGTGAAACAAATCCTATGACTTTTCCAGTGCAGTATTTATGATGAAAAGGCTCACACAGATACGTCGAAGCAGAGGACAGATGTTTACAGCGATTTCGTCTTGGTGGGATTGCTTCTCCCCATCTAGTCTCTAACCCTCTCCAGGTGACTGGGAAGGGGTCTCGCAGGATCAGTTTCACCCAGTGCTCTAGCTGTCAGAGTCTGCACACTCATTTCCCAAGTTCAGTAAATCCTCTGGATTTTCTTGGATCTCCAAGTCCCAAAGGTTAATCTAACCATGTTGAAAAGCCCATTGAAAAATATAACTCCAACTCAAGCTTCTGTACAGAGACTGGGGGCCTCTTGGCTGTTGGAAATAACCAGCAAACACAACGGAAATCTGAAGCTTCTCCAGAGATAGTGGGACAATTGGTGGGAGCTGACCGTGCATGCCATTTAGCAATTCTAGCAGAACAAGGGGCAGAGTCATCTATGATCTAGATGGTTTTCTGGTGGATCTTCTTTACTGTTTTGGAAAAAGTGCAAAACGAAAGTTCTCTGAGAAGACAGAAATCTCAGACCTGCTTCACCTCGGTGGTTTTGCACATTTGAAAGGATCCCACTGTGGGGAATGGCCTTCAGCACCGTTTCATATCTCAGACCTGTTCCACCAAAATGCCACAAGGCATGCCGAACACAGGAGAGAAGGACAGCCGATAAATTCAGGGTTTGAGCTGATAAGCTGGTCTGTTTCTAGAGGTGGTTATAACTCAGTTTCAGAACCTTAGCATCTTCCTTCATTTGTACAATCCGTAGGACTGTATCCTGCCATGATCAAACTACATGTTGACATCTTAGGATGCTTTATTTTAGGGAGGTGGCGATCATCATGCTTGTCACCACCTCCTTAAAGAAGTATCTGGGGGATGAGTAATGGCAACCTCCAGATAATTCCACCTGGATGACTGAAAATCTTCATCAACTCCTTAAAGAAGCTGCATCTGTTTTCTTGGCGCACACAGTCGCTGCTTGTTCCCAGCAAAACACCCGTTTGAGTTAAGGAGCTGTCAGTGAAGTAAGACAACATGTTTTTGAGCTCACTGCCAGTCCCTCATTAACTCAGACGTGTTTTCCTGGGATCACGCAAGGACTGGGCAAATCCAAGAAAAGATCATGCTTTTTTAAGGAGGTGCAGCATGCACACCCACGCCTGCTCCAGAGTGCAACTCGTCCCTCCTTTATTAAACTGTTGGTCATCCCAACAAGATCATGAACGGTTGGTGGTGCCGAGGAAGACTTCTTAGCACCCTGGGCTGCATCATGATTGATGAAGAAGCTGTAGATAATCTGAACAGGCAAGTTCCATGCTGAAGTGAGACTGCTTTGCCAGAAGACCCTGCTGCTCATAAAGAAATCCCATTCAGCAACACGTGTAGAAAAGGTGCAGGACATTGATCACGTGGTTGGGGCTGCCATCTTGACTTTTTTGGCCCCAAGCAGAGACAGAAGCTTCTTAAGAAATTGAGTGAATTGGTCAATACAGTAACAGGTTCTGCTGCAGCCGCAGTTGATTTCTGCTCATTATTTAGATGTACTTCTAAGGAAGAGTGCCCTCACCATGCTAAACACTTCTTCAGCCTCTGTTAATTCTCACTCGTTTAGATCAGGGTTTCTCAACCTTGGCCACTTGAAGATGGGTGGACTTCAACTCCCAGAATTCCCCAGCCAGCATGAACAAGCATATTAGCATCTGGTTGTGACTCAGAGTGCTGAATTAGGTATACTCTGGCTCTGATATAGCAGGGTTCTTCTTATACTCAACCAGCCCATCGTTTATTATAGACACTGAGCAATCCAGAGTGTCTCATCTTCTTATCTTCTACATTGAGGGAGGCAACGGACTGCACATTCTTCAGTCCTGATGTCTTCCTTGCCCCTCAGTCCTGTCTTGTCCCATAACTCCTTCTTGGGAATGCTGTCTTCTCCAAGAACTCTTGATGTTCTTCCAAGAACCATTACAGTTTGAAAACTCCCAGCAAGAAATATTGACAATCATCAGCGATACTGGGATTTCTAGTTCAGCACCACCTGGAGTGTAATAAGTTGCTTTCTCCTGGGGAACCTGTTCTAGGTAATGCTGGCTGGGGAATTCTGGGAGTTTAAGTCCACCCATCTTCAGGGGGCCACCTTGATTGGTTTTGGAGAAGTCCATTCTCACCCTACCAAATACTACTTTGGCCCCATTTAATTCCCACTAACTATTTAGATTATTTCTTGATTGGCATTGAGGAAGTCCATTCTCCCTATGCCAAATACTGCTACCGACCCAGTTACTAATGTCTGATTTGTTTAGAATCTAGCTCTTCAGGATCTGACAAACAGAAAGGATGCTGGGGGTGGGCAAAATAATAATAATAATAATAATAATAATAATAATAATAATAATAATAATAATACACAAACAATATTCCGATTTCAGATCCCAACCTTGGTAGGTCCAGGTATGTGAAGACGAAATGATTGCAATTTTTAACTTTTGGGCCGCGCATTTTTGATATAATCCAGCAGAAATAAGTAGAAGTCATAACAAGAAATGCTGCTATGATATTTATTAACATGAATCCCGATCTTTCAGAAAGAAATAGCTTCCTTTGCTGAGCATTGAAAGGGTTAGAAATGGGGTGATTGGGGAAATGAGCTAAGCTTTTTTATTGGGGAATAGGTCTTTGACTGAGTAGGTGTTGTCAGATTTATTAAGCAAGATCTTAACGAGTCGAAATAAATTTTCAAGGACTTTTAAAACTGATGAGGTTTTTACCCTTGAGCAAAATGCTTCATACCAGGTGCCTTAATCATTAATATATAGTTGACAACAAAACAAATAGGATTAAAAATAAGTTTGCAGTTAATATTTACGGTGAAGGTTGGACTTTCCCGTGAAGCAATTAAATACTGGTTTTTGTAAGCCGAGAACCTGAGATAAAAAAATTCCTTTTCTCAACAGTTCTGTGAATCTCCTACTTCGATGCACATTTGCAGAATAAAACACATTATTCTGTGTTTTATTAACACAGAATGCACATTTGCAGAATAAAACATATTAATGCAGTGTTTCTCAACCTTGACAA